CTTCCAACTTATTGTGGAGGGAATAAAGTGGGAGGAAAAGAAGCTATGCTTTACAAGGCCACTCTTACGGCTAATTATTTTGGTTGTTGAATTATGTGTACTTTCTGTGAGCTATACATAATTTTGCTGTTTATAATATGTATAAATTCTATATGTATTTAATTTGGTTTGGACTATACTGTATATAATTTCACTAGTTGCTGTTAGGTGGTATCAACTTAAAGATTCTTGGCCCTGTTTGGCTGCCCTTTTATATAATGTATTAAAATATACCAGGTTAATTCACCTGTCATTGTCCCACTCTAGTAAAACGCATATTGGAGTCAAAGGTCCTTTCTATGGGAGTTGTGGCAATCTCTTCTCCAGCTGACCTTCAAACAGCTGTTTCTACTTGGCTCCACTTTCCACATGAGCCAGAATAATGTAGGCCTGGCTCTGCAGTCGAATTAGTTACTTAGCAAAGTTACTTAACTAATCTATGATTAGATTGCACTTGAGAGATTTTCTCTGGGAATTCTATATCCAGAAGAGTTTTAGTAATTTTGCAGATGTTTTATAGAAAATTAGTAGCAAACTGGAATCTAATTTCTGATTCTTAGCACTGTATTACATTGCCTTTCCTATCTTAAATATTTGCGGTGAGGATCACATGAGTTAAATGTCAGTATACCTTGATAGGCATAAACTATCACAAAGTAAATTATTTCAATTTGGTTTCTGTTGTCGGTAGGTGTATATGATTCTATGCATTGTTTTTTTTTTTTTTCTTTTTGGTACCAGGGATCGAACTCAGGACCTTGTGCTTGAGAGGCAGGCCGCAGAACCACTGAACTAAATCCAGGGCCCTGTACATTGTTGATTGATTCTAAAGCCTTTAGAAGCAGAAATCATTTTTTATGTCTTTTGTCTCTAAGCTCAAAGCCAGACCCCAGTGTATGTAGGTATCTGGGCACAGTAATAAGTAGATGTCCTTTGAAACTTAAATTATTTTCCTTATTCATTTAGGGTACACATGGATAAATTTTCTAATAAAATGTATATGCTTCATGTTCAGGCCAATGATTTATTACAGCTATTACAGACAGTATTCTGACTAGTTCCTTGGGAGGCATATTAATATTTAGATAAAACAAAGCACTTATTTTTTGTTTTTAGGATTTTTTTTCTTACTGTGACTTAACTTCAGGTAGCTGTCAACTGAGAAAATGTAAGGTTAAGGAGTTAAAATTTGCTCACAGATCTCACTCATCTTAGGTGTGTGATTTTTGGTAATTTTCTAAATATCTCTGTACCTGAGTTTCTTTAATGTTAAATTAGGCAAAATAATAATGATTAAGTTAAAATCAACTAATAGAACCATAGACTGATTTATTCACATATAACCGTATGACCCAGGTGAGGAAATGTAGGCATGTAGAGATTACTGATAGGTAGTAAAGGTGAAATTCGCACTCAGGTGGTCTAGTCCGGAGTCCATAATTTTTAAGCTTTTTATACTACTGCTCTAAGTTCTAAAGAGTGAGAGAGATACAGTATGTAGAATGCTTAGTACAATTTTGGTTTTTAGAACTTTTTTGATTTTGGAATCATGGGCCAGGGATTTAGCTCCATGGTTCTGCTGCCTGCCTCGCAAGCACAAGGACCCGAGTTCGATCCTCAGTACCCAAAAAAAAGATTTTTGGAATCATGAATAAGGTTTTATGGGCCCCAGTTTAGGGAAGAACTAGGAATATGTAATTGTCCTTGATTCTAAACAGTTTTGGCAGATTTTGAGACATAAAAAGAATTGCAGGCCCTATCCCAGTCATTCTGGGCTAGAATCTGCATTTTAAGAATCTGCTTTTAAGATTCTTAAACTTTGAGAAGTAATAAAGTAGAAAATATGGAAAATTTCTTCCAACTCATGGTGGTGATTCTTAGATTAGTTTGCATGGAAATTTCAGTGTTAATACTTATATTTAACAGAAAAATGATACTATATTAAGGATTATTTTAATGCAAAACCAGCTGTGTAGATTTATTTCTATTCTTTTGGTACCGGGGATCGAATTCAGGACCTTGCGCCTTGTGAGGCAGGCGGCAGAACCACTGAGCTAAATCCCCGGTGATTTATTTCTTTTCTTTGGCTTCCATTTTAGGTCAATTCTTTTTAGATAATGACTGAATTTGTGGAAGGTTTTTGACGTAATACAAAAGCACCCCCAAGTTCTATCCTTTATCATTTTAGGAAATATAGTAATTAGAACTCAAAAATTTCAAATGGAGTTATAGCGAATGTTTTTTATTTATTTCACTAAAGAGATTATGATATTAGCCAGTTATGGATATGGGAACACTAAGAATAACAAAATCCTTTTTTTTGGACTGTGCACTCTTCTGCTGTTTCAGTGAACAGTTCAACATTTAAAATTCACAGTTAGGAGATTAATAACAAAGCAAATGAGCACTTGACTTGCTTGATTAGAAATGTTTAATTTTATTAGTCTCTGGAATTTAGAATTTTCTCCTCGGGCTGGGGGCATAGTGTAATAGTTCAGTAGAGGAGCACTTGCCAAGAGTACATGGAGCCCTGGGTTCAATCTCCAGCATGGAAGTGTGGAAAAAAGGTAGTAGGGCAGGGGAAGAGAGCTGAAGCTCTCAAGCTTAAGGAAGAAAATGGTTGTCAAATAGATATTTTAAAAAATGTGACTAATGTCTGATTCATTTACCTTTAAATAGCTAGCACCTGCCATATGGTAGATATTCACAAATTTTGTCTAATGAATGGATTTAAAAGAATAATTTTGCTACCCTTTTCAAATGAGACCTGTAGAAATCTTAAATATTGAGGTTTGAGATAAATTGAGGATCTTCCCTCGTTAACTGATGCTTTGATTAATCTTCCTCGTATCAACTGATTCCTTTCTTGAAAATTTCTTTAATTGTGGAAGCTATAATTCAAACATAAGTAAGTAAAATATTTATACAGTTAAAACCAGGCACCTGTTAAAGAAGTAGGACACTGCTGAGTATTTGAGGTATGTTGTCCTTCAGTTGCATATTCCTTTATCCCCAGAGATAGCCACTTTCCTTGGTTTTACTTTTAAAGACTTTAAATATATTCTTAAGCAGTAAGTTGTTTAATTTTGAAAAATTGACTAGCAAATATAAATTTGTTGGTAAAGAAAGGCTAACTCTGCTGATATTAGATCAGATTTGAGTCTTGAATGGTTTTGACTTTCTGGAGTTTACTAGAACCCTTTTTGTGGGGAAGTCAGTAGATGAGGTTTTGCCTGGGACTTGGGAAATAGTGTCTTTCCTCATTGTTGGGCATCTGGCAGTGCTGTAGTGTGGCTGTAGGTACAGGATGTTCAGAAGTGTTATTAGAGGGATGGGGCTGCTCTGTACATTTCTTTAAGCCACTGTGTCTTTCTTTTGGTACTTAAAAGCAAGTCAGAGGAAACCACTTCTGTAAGTGAAGTAGTATTTCCAGCAGATTCAAGGAGAAAAGAATGAAGGAAAAAACTTCATTAACAGGACATTCTGTCCTCTGGTTAAAAGACAGGAATCTGATGAGGATGAGAAAAAAGGATAATAAAATATAAATGAACAAGAGTTGTGCCAGTGGGGGGATTCCAAAAAAAATTCCACTGAAGGACAAAAATGAAGATAGGAATAAGTAGAAAAATAATCTTTTTGCAGAAATATTCGGTGTTATAAATTCTTCCTCAACAACTCCCATGATTTCTTTTCATTTATCATCTAATCATTCAGAGTTGCTTAGATCAGTCCTCTGCAGCTGCTTTGTCTCCATAGTGCTTATTTACAGATGATACTAGTATGCATTTCCTTAGTCATGCTTTTCCACTTTCTAGAATGTAAACTTATGAAGGCATATGAGCTTATCAAAGTATGCTTGTGTTTCTCTTCTTGCTACAGTGTGGACCTACAAGAGTGTATTTTGTTCCTTGTATCCTGAGCGCCTTGAATTATGCTTAGCACATAGGAAGCAGTCAATGACTGGTAAATGAATGAATGAATAAATAAATAAATAAAACTCCTCTTTCTCTCATAGTCTACAGCACTTATTGTCTGTTCCATAATTTTTGGTCATTAGTTTTGTTTAGTTTAGCATCTTATAATGCTTCCTATTATTTTCTTTTAGTTCCGTGTCTAATTTCATTTTTGTAAGACATTCTTTTGTAAGATTCTAATTGTTTCATTTTTGTAAGACATTCTTCTCTGTGCTTCTTACTGGCAGGAGTGGGACAAATGTCTTCTTTGTATATCTCACAGCACAAAGCAAATGGATGTAGAAACTTGTGGAAATCAATACATTTATTCATAATGACTTAAATTGCTAAAATCCAGTTTGCTCTCAACAAAAGGAGTATTTTACTGGATAAGACAGGAAATTTTGTGTGATATGGGTTTTTTTTTAAAGGATGTAAATTTTTTGGATATGTCTCGTTGAACTTATGGTGAAATTTGGTAACTGGAAGTTGGAACTTTTGCAATTACTATTTTATGAGCTTTTGCACACAATTTGAGTAAAATGAAAACATCACAATGTTAAATGAGATATGGATTTCTTACCTTGAAATGTTAATTTAAAAAAAATTATTCCTTATGCTGTAGTTCTTGGGAGGTAGTTTTAAAATGAAACATTAATTCTAAATAAGTAAAATGTTGGTTGCTTATTTTTTTACATGTGCGTTTATAAATATAAATATGCAAATGTTTATAAATACTTTCTCATACCAACTTCTCATTTAGCAATTTGTACAACTTTCCTGTAACTTTATTGTTGCTGATATTCTGCAAATCTTTTATGTATTGTTTCTTGGAGATGAATTTCCAAGAGTATATTACATTGCTAAAAGGAAATATTTTAACACTGATACAGTACCACACAAGTTTAAAAAGAGAAATGTAAAACTATGTAAAAGTTTTGTTGGTTTTTTTCTAATATGGAAAATTATTTTATTTTTATTTTTTATTATTTTTTTGCTTTATTTCAGGCCAGTCTATCCATATGGGGATGGGGAAGCCTTGGCATTGTCCTTTTTCTAATAACCTTTGGACCCTTTGTAATATTTTATTTGGCATTTTATATCCTCTGCTTTGTGGGTGGGTAAGTATACTCAATGATAATTTTACAATTTATGTGTTATTTCTTGTTCAGAATGAAAACAAAATGACTGTGTAACTGAGAGTGTCATTTATTTATAAATGCAATTTTTTTTTTAATACGGGGATCAAACTCAGAAGCTTGCGCTTGGGAGGCAGGCGGTGGAACCGCTGAGCTAAATCCCTGGCCCTATAAATGCAATTTTTTAAAAAAGTTGTTTTTACCAAAGTTTACAAACAGTTAAAATTATGATACCGATTTGTACCAGAAATATAGCTGGTCAGTTTCAGAATATACAATTTTTTTTGTGATAATATGGAAAGTTTTAAAGACTTTTAAAAATCATTTTGTTGACACTCCTCTTTTAAAGTTGAAATCTTATCCATTAGGATACTAAGATAAGTAAGTTGATTTGAGAGACACACCAAGTTTTATATTGTAGGAGATCTGTTTCATTGATTAGACTTCAAATAATAATGTTATTTCCCTTAACAAATGTTATTTTTGTCTGGAAAATTCAAATACCTAATTTTGCAGTTTTTTCTTCATGGTTATTTTTGTTTGCAAGTTTTTTGTTTTCCCTTAAGTTGATAAATCTTTACAAAGGAGATTTTTGTGATATTTTATTATAGCTTCATACAGAGTTTTTGGTATCAGACATGAACTGTAAGAAAATGTAAGAAAATACATAGAAAAGTGAAATGTTTGTTGGTATATTCGAGGTAGCTTAGATGAAAAAAGTATTTTGTTGTTTGTGTGTTTATGTGTATTATATGATTAGTTGTGGAATATACACTTAATGAGTTTTTCAAAAAAATCTTTTGAGACCTTAAACATTTGGAGTCATCTGAACATACAGATTTAGAGGATTTAGCTGAATTAAATAGCATCGATACACAGTGACATGAGAGAGACTTGTAAGACACTGAGTGGGTGGCTTCTGAGTATACTTACCACTTATCACCTCTTTCAGGATGCAGATTTGAAAGTCATATGTGTAGTCATTATATAGGGAGCATACCTATGTGAACAAATGAGAGTTAATTTAAATAGAGCAGGTGTGTCGAAGACTCTCCGTAAAGCAGTATTTTTATGTTAGATACAATATTTTCATAGTGAAAATATGATGTGATACTGAAAAATATGATATGATACTGCGTACTGGAACAAACTTATTTTAGCCACAAGAGTCAGGTGACATGAGTTCAGACTGTCTTTATTGAAGGTGATTGAAGAGCGTAAAGCTCTGCAACTCAGCAGACTAATTACACTCATCAGTCACAAATTAAGAGCACAGCATGGCTGTATAGCTGCCTGTTTGCACCTTTACTAACAGGGGCAAGGCTGCTTTCACTGAATTGGAAAGATTATTTTTCTTTAGATGTTTCTGAAAGGGAGAGATTTCTTCTAATTTCACTAATTAAATAAACCCTTGACAAGAGTGAAGGAAAAGTACTGTACTTTGGAAAGGGAGGAATTTACAGTTTTAGAGTTGAAGGTATGAGCTGAGCCCCTGACAGCTGGAGGGGTGGAGAATCATTTCTCTTGTGTTAAGTGCCATATAAATTTGGGATGATCAGTCTATTTCAAAGTCATGGGAACTTTTGTTGCTCCTTTTTTGAGTCTGCTAATTTATGAAGGAATAATTTCAAAAAATCCTTTGAATACTTAGAAAATTCTGTAAAATCTTTAGATAAAGTAGGCTGTTGAGGGGTGCAGGTAATATTTGAGTCATATGATGGGGCCTGATATTCGAAGTCTGTGCTAAATCATAAATTGATCTGACATTGTATTCAAGACTATGTTATCTCAGTGAAATTCTCTGCCATGATATGGGTATTTCCACTTCCAGCAGACCTCTGAAAGTCATCTCAGGAGAATTAGTTAATTAAATATTCCCAGATTACACAGTTATGATCAGTGAAATCTTAATTTCCTGAGTAAAATCTTTCTTATTTTGGTTCTAATTAACAAAAATAATTGTCCCTTCCTACTGTAGCTTAATGTCTTACAAATTTAAAGAACAAAAATAGGCTTTAAAATATCATTTTAAGTCAAAGAAGGGGATTTCATAAATTTAAAAGTTCTTACTTTTGGTGGGGTTTTTTGGGGTATGTTTTTAAAAATGTGATTTGATTCTCTTAAAAGTTTGAGAGGCATTTTTATATTTTCCTATGGACCTACCTCTCCCCTTTTTTTCCTAATAAAACTTAAAAGTTTTAAGTTCTGTCATTTATACACTAAAGCATTGATAGTGTATACTTTTGTAGTCAAAGCTAATCCCTTATTTTTTAATATAAAGAAAACTTAGAAAAATGTTTTGTTTTTATTATGGAATGCCATCAATACCACATCATGGTTATATTATGACATTCTGTTATATTTTGAGTTATGTAACCATTAGCTAGCACCTTTTTTGTATTTAAAACTCACAACTGAAACTACTTATTAGGAACTTGATAACTTTTAATTGTGCCTTAGGTGCCTTCCTGCTGTGGTACTGTGAGCAAAGGTTAATGTTTCATCAGTATATTTCATGATGACATTTAAGTATTTTGTTTTTTGTGAGTATGCTTAATAACCAGATAAAACTGAAATAAAAGGCCAACTTGAATTCAGTAGTAATAATCAGATAAATCAGAGATAGGTTAAATTTACTGATGATTCTGAAGTCAGCCTCTTAACCAAAATTCTGGGATTAATTACATGAACTGATTGGACTTTATCTGTGTTTTCATGGGATTTCAACTTGAAGGTAAGTGAAATGGCAGGTAATGGCAAAAAGCAGAAGACTTTGAGAATCTTCCTTTTTGTAATTGAGAATGATCACATTTAATATTTCACTTTTTTTGTGAGTACAGTCTTTGAATCATTGTAAGGTTAATATGCACTCATTGTAAGATGAAAACTTAATTTTCTTCTTCCCAGGGCTTTAGTTTATTGGCAAATTTTATATATAGGAAATAGTGATAACATTTAATCAGTATTTACCGAGTAGTAGTTCTAAACCAGTATCTAATTCTGTTTTAAAAATCAGTTAAGCTTTGGAGATAAGTTCATATTTATTTTCTCAATTCCAGCCTTATTTTAAAACAATTCATAAATTTGATCATTTTCTCCTGTGTAGCCTTTGTTTTTTCTGTAGCCACAGTGACACCCTACATTAATAATACCTCAGGCTGGGGATTTAGCTCAGTGGTGCCGCCGCTTGCCTCGAAAGCGCAAGGTCCTGAGTTTGATCCCCCAGAAAACAAAACAAAACATTAATAATACCTCACATTAGGGAACAGAGTTATAGAATTGGGTTATTTAGCTATAGATTTACATTTCATTTTTATTATCCTTATTATTAGCTAGCCTATTATTTAGTGAGGACTAATTTTTCTAAAGTTTAAAAATTGAAATAGATTAGAACTTTGAAAGGCATTATATAATTCATAAAATGTTTTGATTGTTTCAAACTTCAGAACATAATATGTCAATTTCATGCTTTTCCAAAGTTACAGACTGAAATGAACAAAAAGCTATAAAATATGAAAAATATTCCAGGTAATAAATATATGTAATTATAGAAATATTTTCTTTTCATATCTATAAATAATTCTTCTTTCTAGGGGTTTAGTGGTCACTCTCCTGTTTGGAAAAACAAACTCAGAAAAGCACCTAGAGCAGTGTGAGCACTCATTTCTTCCTCCCACATCAACTGGGGTTCCTAAGGTAAGTAGTGTGAAGGAAGGTGAAACTTCAACATTCAGTTCTTTGCAGTGATAGTAATATGTTCATCTGTATATGGCTTGACAGACTTTTCTGTTATTCACTAATAATGTTCATTGTAAATTGTTGGAAGATTTTCTGATTATACTTAGAAAACACATAATTTTAAAATTCACTTTGAAATAAATATATATATATATAGTTTTAATAATTGAGGCCTGATTTTTATCATCATTTTTACCAATGCTGCCTTTTTTAAAGTATCAGATTTTATAAGTAAAATTGGAATTGGGCTTCAGATATGCAGTATCTTCAGTTTTTGTTGTGGGATGGACCTTTTTGTCTTATATGAAGATAACAAATGACCTGTTGTTGATGGAAGGGCTTTATAGTCCATCATATATGAAGATACAGGAGATGAAAGGTAAGTTGCTTAGGTATTATCTTGCACTGTAGTCACTTTATCTGAGTTCTATATTGATAAACTAATGTTTTATAATACAACTTGTTTAATAATCTGAAACATTTTTCTCTCTAGAACTTTTGTTAATATGTATTCTTTGGTTTTGCTTCCAAGCCTTTCTGAGGGAACAGGCCTTTTTGGGAAAACATTTCTTAGCCGTCTATATTGTACATTTATTTGAGTGGTACACTCATTTATTTGAGTGGTTATATCTTGTATCTTTGTAATCTATTATTTTAGTAGATGATATAAAATAATTTTGGTTTGCTATTTAAAAATATTTTTATGAAGAAAATCTTAGAGGTGTTATGTTATAATTTGAAGCATATATTTTATATATAGTCATACATCATTTTGATGTATTCTAAGAAACATCACCCGGTGTGTTTCGTTGATGTGTGGACATGATTGGATACACATACATAAACCTAGGTGGTATAACCTACTATGGATCTAGTCTATATGGTCTAGCTTATTCCTCCTAGGCTTCAAACCTGCGTATGTAGTATGTTACTGTATTGAATTCACTGGCCATATAACAAAATGGTAAATATTTGTGCTTCTAAGCATATCTAAACACGGAATAGAGATCCTGAAAGGTAAAAAATGGCATACCTATATAGGGCATTTGCCAAAAATGGAGGTTGCAGCATTGAAATTTGCTCTGGGCGAGTCGGTGAGTGAGTGAGTGAGTGGTGAGTGAATGTGAAAGTCTAGGGTGTGCTGTACCCTGCGGCAGTCTACAAATACTCTACACTTTGGCTTCACTGAATTTATAAAATATATTTTTATTTCTTCAGTAAAAAATTAACCTTAGGTTATCATGACCTTTTTACTTTATAAACTTTTTAATCTTTCAAAACCTTTGACTCTTTTGTAATAACAATTTAAAACACAAACAGAAAGGTATAAACACCTATATTAATCTAGGCCTAAACAGGCTCAAGATCATCAATGTCAGTCTTATCCCTCCATATCTTGTCCCCCTGTAAGATCCTCAGTTACAGTAACACATGTGGAGCTGTCACCTGCTGTGGTGACAGTGCCTTCTGGAATCCACCAGAGGTGGAAGAGGAACAGTGTCCAGTAAAGACAGTTACTGCTTTGACTCACCTGAAGCACTCACTTTATATATTTGAAGTTTCATTTAACTATGGCAACAGTATACTTGTACATTTTTAATTTCCCACATCCTAAATGTTTACTTATTTGACTACATTTTTTGAAGGTAGTATAGATTTTTGTTTTCTAGGTGTCTAGGTTTGTTAACTTGAAAAATCACATTAGGTTTATGTTAGTCTCAAAAGTTATTTTTATATTGACTTGAGAATAGTGAAGGGACGTTATGATGAGTATTCGATTTGAAGTAAACTGGAGAGGTTCTTAAATCAAACTGCTCAGTAAAATATTATGGTTTTCTTTAAGTGCTTAGAAGAAATGAAACGGGAAGCCAGGACTATTAAGATTGATAGAAGATTAACGGGTGCCAGTATAATTGATGAGCCTCTCCAGCAAGTGAGTTTCAGTATGTGGTATTTGAATTTCATATATTGTGTGCTAAGTATATTTCGTCTGATAATACTAAGGTGTAACTTTTTGGTATTTAAATATTCTGGTGGAATTTTATGATAATGCTCTTCTTGAATTTTGTATTTCAAGGTGCTGCCACATTTATTTGTTCATTTGTTCTTTCATTCATTCATTTGAGGCTGATCTTTAACTCATGGACTTGGGTGATCCTCCTGCCTCAGCCTTCTGAGTAGCTGAACTACAAGCATGCCAGGCTGTCTTATGTACTAAGCACCTTTAATGAGGTGGTTCATTTAATGTAAAAACTTTTTTATTGAATATGCATTTAGAAACACTTTTGGTGACATTTGATGATTCTCATAATTTTATCATTAAAAGTATAAAATTATAACTTGCTGGTGGACAGGCTTAGTGGTTGGAAAAATCAGACTATTTTTCTGTTAGTTTTGTTACTTTTTAAAAAATAGAGGGCTGGGGATTTAGCTCAGTGGTGCCGCGTCCTGCCTGACAAGCGCAAGATCCCGAGTTTGATCCCCAGTTCCAAAAATAAATAAATAAATAAAAATGGAAATACTTGGTTTGATTAAAAAGTGCCTGAAAATTGCAGTCAGGTCTGTTTTTGCACAGTTTTTCTGTTGATGTGTTTGATTATATGATCATTGTAAATAATGTGTACTTCAAAAATGTTAGTATTTATTTTTATAAATTCATATTTCATCCAATTTGTAAAAGTTATTTATTGAATGTATTAGTTGCTGTTTATGGACTAACTGAACACTGTTGGCTGTATTAAAAGTAGTAGAATTAAATGAAGTATCGTTTTTGTAGTTAGACTCCAATAGATCTTGATATGATCTTCGAAAAAATTTGTTTTGAAAATTAGTGTCCATCAGCATTATTTTGTATCTCATTCCATCAACTGGTTAAAACTCTTTTTAAGTGTACAGAATTGAACATTTATTTTTTCTGTAAACTTTCTTTACCTGAATTTGGGTGGGGTTTGGCCTTGGTAATGTTTTAATGTTTAAAAGATTTGGTCAGTGAATGAGTTGGGATACCACAATAATTTAAAAAATTCCTAATAGTTTTTAGCATGTTGATGTTTTTATAATGATGGCAGGTATTTACTGCTACTATTTAAGATGAAAAGAATATATAAATTGGCAGATATTCATCTTTGCTTTTAATTTGCCACTGTTTCTTTCTGAATCCTAAGAAGTTATAATTTTTCCAATATTTTTATTATAGGTTATCCAGTTTTCCTTGAGAGATTATGTCCAGTACTGGTATTACACACTAAGTGATGATGAATCTTTTCTTCTTGAAATTAGGCAAACTCTTCAAAATGCACTCATTCAGTTTGCTACGAGGTAAGGTTGCTGCATTGTATTTATGCAGAAAAATTTAGATATACTCTCTATTCCAATAGGGAAAGTACCTTTTAAATTGGGAGGGGTTGGTTAATTAAAAGGTAAGTTGAATAGTCTATTATATTGTGTGAACTTCCAGATTTCAGAACTGGAGCCCTTAAAAACTTTAAGTCTTAGTCTTGAGGTTTTTATAAAATTTGTCTTGATGAAGTCCTGCTCTCTGTCTGTCAATTTTTTACATACAAGGCCTAGATAGGTGACTTTTCAGAATTTTACACCACTTATTAATACCCTCCTCTGTAGATGTTCTTTCTTTATTTGGGTGCTATGGAAATAGATTGGTTTTGTTGTAACTCCTCTTCCTTCCTCACTGCAGTTTCACTTTAACTGTTCTCTTAACATTGGCCCCTTCTTGAGTGAAAGTCCTCATAGCGGGAGGAGGAAACCAAAGGAACATAAATCCATGAAGACTATTCACTTTTGTTTTGTTTTGTTTTTTAAAAAAAGAGGTATATTTTGATGAGTTTGTTGTAAGCTAGTTTTCTGGTGAAATATGCTAAAATGCTCACTTTACACACCAAATATGTACGGCTTCCGGTATGATAAAAATATTCTGGCAAATACCTTTGTACTTACACTACTTGATTAAGGGGAAGGGGAGAGGGCCATTTCATATATATCAAAGTTAATGTTGACTTTGATTTTTTTTTGTGTGTGTATGAAAGCCTTTTAATGGCAGTGTTACATGAAAGGGAAAAGTTGTGCTCCAGAAATTATTTATTTTTGAAAGAAAGGATTTTGTTTGGAGAAGTTTGCAGCCTTGATTTTACTATCCAACACGCAGCAAAATTTTCTCTACTAGCCTGCATTCTTGAGGTGTATGCTTCAAATTTGTCTCCACCCGACCTCTCTTCCTTCCCACTTAGATTCTTAGAGTGAATACAATTTATGATTCAGAGAGTCTGTGAGAGTAGAGCTTTGCCCTAGTGCTGTCATTGTGTTTCTGTTCTTTGTGCCCAGATATTTTCAACTTATGCTGCCTTGTCAGGACCTTTCCTCTGTAACTGAATTGATCCTAAAGCTTTAAACCGGGGCCTGGGAGGGAGAGAGATGGAGTATGTTTCTCAGCCTCAGGTCATCAAGGGACACCATGTAAGCTTTCTGGTTTGAACTATTAAGTAATCCGAATTATAGAAATAGATTTGCATTCCGTACAGTAAGGACCAAGCATTTGCAAAGTAGCCAATAAGAATTACAGAGTCACTTTGAAACATACAAAATATAATTGGTTTAAAACTTGGATTTTATCTCTTGTATTTCATATGCACCATTATTGAATATTAGATTTTCTTTTTAGAGAGGTTTCCTAAATAATGATTCATTAATTGCATTGTATGATAACACTATCCTAATGATTATTTTTTACAGAAAGGGTAGTAATAAGAATTCATTATTCTTTTGTCTGACTGCTTAAAAGTGAATTAAAATGTAACAAAATTTAGACCTGGAAAGAGATTTAAATTAGTAATTTGACAACTTGAATTTGTATTCTGGATCTGTCATTTAGCTATGAAACCAAATATTATGGAGCAAATATTTTAAAGTCTTTGAAAATGGATTTCCCCCATGTGTAAAATAAGTATGATAATAGCTGCCTTATTTGCATTCCTCAGAGGTTTGTTGTTGGACCAGATCCACCTATTTATTCAACTACTGTTTTGAGTCTTCTTTGTACCAGCCAGGTGCTGGGGTTACTGCAGTGAGGAAAACAAAAGTTCCTGCTCATTTGGGTGAAACGAACATAATATATGTGATAGTGTTGTGAGAATTGTGGAGGAATTTAAAAATGTAGTCTTTATGCCATCCAACAACCATGATTTCATAGATGAGGAAACTAATGTCCAAAAAGGTTACCTGGTTAGTTTGGGGTTAACCAATGAGTTAGAGCTGGAATTGAAATGCGAGTGTGTCTAAGAGTCTGGTGTTCCTTTCCCACCCGCTGTCTTGTGTGTTATGGTCTAGGTTAGTCATCTCAGCTCCTGCACTTCCTTCTTCTAGTAAATCTCCCTGCTTTTTTCCCCAGTCACCTTTTCTTTTCATCTCATATATTTTTCTTATCTTTTCTCTAACATTCTGTGCTATCAGATGTAATATTTGGGTGATTACTTGGAAAGCCAGAGTTCATCCAATTTTAAGAGTTATCTGAATTAATATTTTTGCTTGGCCATTGGCCTTGAGATTTTTGGCAAACTAAAAACACTGATAGTAACTTCTTTAAAGGGTTTGAGGCTAAAAAACAATATCAAGTAATGCTCCTAGCCTACAGTGGCATTTATTAAATATTTGTTGGTTTGTGCCTTCTGTGTGAATGACTTTCCTGTCTTGCCCTTTTCTTCTTCTTTTTTCTTTTTTTGGTACCGAGGATCCAACACAGGTCCTTGCGCTTGTGAGGCAGGCAGCGGAACCACTGAGCTAAATCCCTGCCCCTGCCCTTTTCTATTAGTACAAAAATATGTGTCTCACTGGGACCTCCATTACTGTTTCTTTTGCTGATATCAAGAAAATTAATTCTGTTTCCAGTCACTCAGATACTTTTAAAAATATTTGTTCTATGCTGTCTTGGGTACACTGTGAAATGTGACAGGCACATGTTACCACCTGTCTTCAACGTACAGTGTTGAATAGGGCTTTTAATTAGGGGTCTACAAACCTGAAAATGTACAGAAAACATTCTTCCTCCCTGCCATTGAGTGCTTCCATAGATTTGATTTTTTAAAATGAACCTATAAACTCAAAAGAGATTGAGAACCATCAAGTTCATGTTCATATTTAATCAACTTTGGCTCTTCCGGGCATTTTAAATGATTTAAATAGTGTCTGTGGTCTTCTTTGACAGGTCTTTTGACTTAGCACGTTTTTGAGGTTCATCCATGTTGTAGCATGCATTAGTGTTTACGTTTTTATTGCTGAATAATATTCATTGTATAGATACACCACATTTTGTTTATCTGTTCCTGAGTTGATGGGCATTTGTTATTTCCATTATCTGGATACTGTATATGTGCTACTGAAGCGAGCACGCGGATACTGTAAATAATGCTAATATGATTATGCACTATAGAGAAATGTCTGTTCAAATGCTTTCTCCATTTTTGAATTGTCATTTTATTATTGAGTGTACTGTTGCCTGTTGTTTATGGAAATACAGTTTTATTGGAAAGTCTTGCTCATTTATTTGCATTTGTTCATAGCTGCTTTTGTGTTGTAATGGCAGAGTTCACTAGTTATGACAGACAATATGGCCTGTGGGGTTGCCTAAAATAGTTGCTATTTGGCTCTTTTGAAAAAAGATTACTTATCCTAGGAATGCATTTTTGTGACTATTAAAGCACTTAATTAGTATTAAATATATAGGAAATATATTAGAATGAAAACCATAAAAAGTAATGTATGATAACTATTTCAGTGGCATAAACTTTATAACTAGATGTGCATTTACAGTGATCTTTGGATTATGGCTGAGTATAGCTAATTCAGAAAATTAAAAAATGTTATAAAATAAGTATTTATCATTTTATAGCCCAAGATAGATAAAAACATTAGCTAATCAGCAATAAAGATGTACATGATGACTACTTTAAAAAATTGCCCTTCCTCTTTTCTGTTCTTTGTATTATGAACCCAAGTGTAAGTTGTCTTTTGTGTTATGCTTTGTTTTGTTTTCCTTCCTTTTTTGGGGGGGGGCGGGTAGTGTGTATGGGGGATTTAACCTGGAGAGCACTGAGCTACATTCCTAGTCCCTTCATATTTTGAGATAGAGTCTCAAATAATTAATAAATAAGTTTCTGAGGCTAAACTTACGATCCTTATAGATAATGTGTTTTTTATGGTTAGTCATTAGGTCAGTTTGGTGAGTGGTCTTGAAATGGATACTTAATCGCTTTGTACCTGATAGTATAATGAATATTAATGTCAAAAATTCTTTATAGATTTCCCATTTGTGACTTACATGCTTATTTTTTATTTTTATTTATTTTTTTGGTACTGGGGATCGAACTCTGGTCCTTGCACTTGCGCAGCAGGCAGCGAAACCACTGAGCTAAATCCCCAGCCCACATGTTTATTTGTTTCCATGAAACTTGAATGTGCATCTCTGTTGGTTCTGAAAGTTTCATTTGTTGGATAATTTTTTTTCCCAGTACCAGGAATTGAACTCAGGACCTTGCACTTGCCAGGCAGACGCGGTGCCACTGAGCGACATCCCTGGCCCGTGTTAGATAAATTTTACTAAAACTTTTTTTTATTAAGATGACTAACATCATGAGATTAATTTTTTAATACCTTTAACATTATGTTTTAGAGGATGCCTCCATACAGCCTCAGGTTATTATTCTTTTTTTTCCTTTTATAGCTTGATTGAAACTTGTAGCTCTTATTTTTTGTACTTAACTCTTGAAATGATAATGGTACTTTTTGTGTGTTCTGTGTAGTTTTCTCATTATACTTGGAGATTCACGTCCTTCAGTTTATCTGGATCTTTGACTTTCTAGAAGTGTTGGACCACAGGATGTAGAACTAGGATTTTTTTATACAGTATCCTAGTTGGCTGAATACCTTTTCCTTAAATATGGTTATATAAAACCATGTGTCTATTTCTGTTTTTACCAATTTACTTAAACTTTTGTAAATGAGAAGGTTTTGTTAAGGTGGAGTAGAGAAAACAGTGACTGGAAAGTTAGGAACCTTGATTTGTTTAATGAAACTTCAGTCTGTCTGTCACCTGGAATATGTAGTTAAAGGTGTAGCTCTGAATTATAGAGACCTGTGGTAATTATTAGAAAGCTCTTTCCACTGTAAAACACTAAGATTCTCTGTTCAAGTTAATACTGATCTTGATTTTTTTGTTTTCAATCTTTCTCTTCTCGGAAATGTCACCAACATATTATACCACACTCCACATTTCGAATACAATTTAGTAAGTTATTTTTAAAAGTATGTGA